CTGCCCCATTCCCAGGCCACGAGCTGGGGCTTCGGGTCGGAGCACAGGCGGACCTCTAATTTCGCCGGGCTACCCTCGGTCGTCACCACCACGAACTTCTCCGTAATGGCCGGCTTCACCACCTACGACACGCGTTTAACAACTCCTTCAATCGGCGGTCCGGCACACTCGAACTCTTCTTCCCCGCTCGCTTCGTTTTCTTCTTCCACGCGCCGGCGGTCCCCGCGAACGCGTTCGGTTTAATCGACTCTACCCACCCGCCCCCCGCGGCAAACATCGTCCTACGAAGGGAGACGGCGTCACTCGATCGGGAGGGCGTTCCACGAAATATCGAGCGATTCCATTGTTTTATGCACGTCGACCGTGTCGCTGCCCGTTTGTTTTATACCGTTCCCGACGCGCACGCGTCGCCGCGCTCGTTTGTCCCTCGCAACTTTGTTTATTGCTACAGAATATACGCACGCGTGTTATTAAACGTAACCCTTTGACTGCTGCGGTCTTCTGTGTGAGCTCGCCGGAAGCTAGTATGGATTATGAGCGCGATGACAATTACAAGTGATTAACCACTTGCGATGGAAATTAATTACGAAATTTGGTCTCCTGTGAATTTTGTTTTTACCTGTTTTATGCTGATATGTACATTTTGTTTGTTGATCATTCTGTATGGAGTGGTGCGTTTCGAAGTAATCTGATAGGCGTGATGCAACAAGGTTATCAGTGAAAGACAATATTGAGAATTTACAGTGCAAGTGGTTAACACGTTGAACGCCGCTCGATTTCCCAGAGGAAAATATGCCGAATTGGAAAAAATATAATGTTAAATCATTACTATTCCACGTTCATCTACAATGTCACTGTATTATGTAGCATTATTTATAATATAGAAATGTTTTCATATAATCGTTTCATTGAGTGAACTATAGTAATTTGATTTGCTCGGTCACCGGTGACCCCCATGGCAGTCAACGCGTTAATACACGCGTTTCTTGGTATTGTTCGATTCAGCGAAACCGAGGAATTACCGTTACAATTTATTCACTCGATTCATTCGTGATTCATTCCGGTCTAAACATGGACTAATGTTTCTTCAGTCTTCAGACGAGCGAAACAGTATATGGAACGTTTCTGGGAGTGTTCGGCACTCAAAGGGTTAATAGAATTTGCCCGTCAACCCATTCACTTTTCGCTTGAATCCGGCGCGAATAAACCGAAATATTCTACCTCTGCTGCGTACGAGGAGACTCGATCTTTTGCCTTTTAGTTTGGAAGACTCGGTTAACTCGCCGTGCTTCAACGAGTGACTCGCGATAAAGATTGTTCAGCAAGTAATTATGTTCATAATTATGGCCCGGATTTTGGTTAACACTAGGTTTACCGAACCCGTCAATTTCACGGATATTGAATTTTTTAAACACTATTTAGTAATAGTTTAAGTCGATCGATTCGTGCAATCACGCGAATACGCATTGCAATGCTCAAGTTTTGAAGCTACAGTTCTCTCTATTTATATACACGAACGCGCAGTTTTCTAAGAACAATAGAATAAAGTACAGAACAAACGTCCGTGAATCTAGCGTTAAGAATGGCAAGGGGTTAAACGGTGAAGCTGTTTCCATAATCCCTTACAGAATCGCTTCGATCGCACAGAGATCGAGTAAACAACCCCTTCCGCGAGAGGTAGCGCGAATGTTTCCGCTGGCACCTTCGCTCGTTCGAAATGCCGCGCGGCCCCTTCGGAAAATTTCATGGGAAACGGTGAATCGATCGGACAGTTCATCGTCGCGAGCGTTTTCCGTCGACCGTTGCGTCCTTTTTTCCGCGGATGTTTTCGGATCACCGTCCCGGCGACGGGGAATCACGGTTTTTATGAAATATCCGCGGACCACAAGCGGCGCTCGTCCCGGCTCGGCTCGGGGAAACGCGCGGCCGACGCGAGCGAAAACATTGTAGCTGCAATCAACCGGCGCGGCGTCGAGTGTTCCATGAAAATGACGTTTTAACCGGCTGTATATTTCAGCCGGGGCTCTTTCTGTTCGGTTAAATATGAATTTTTCACGTTTAAATACTCGACGGGTAGAAACAAGTCGCGCTCGCGCGAATGGGCTGAAGAGCGGCGCGCACGCGATTTTATTAATTATTCGCAGACGGCGGTGCCGGCGTTTTTTCGCCGATTACATTGATTCCCGCGATAAAAACACGCGAGACCGATCACGGGCGGACCGTGACGCATGAAAACAGACCGCCGCCGCGCCCCCCGCCGCGTCGCTCTCCCGATTCCGCGATTCACGATACGCGAACCGTGATATTTCCGGCGGTCGGAGTGGCCGATTAAATTTTAAACTCCGTTCCGATCGATTTAGCAGGCGCGGTACGAGTTCTCGAGCTAATTCCCGCTGCAGTCGGTCGCGATACAAATCCCCGGCCACGAACCGGCCGACGATTTAGCACCGGCGCGGACGTGCCCCGGCGGTCCAGGACCGTGCGTCTTACCCTCGGCGCGCCCACCACCTGCAGGGACACCGGCACGCTTTTATCCTCCCGGACCTGCCCGTTGATCTTGTTCGAGGCGACGCATATGTATTGGCCCTGCTGCTCGTACGTCACGTTCGTCAGGATCAACCGCTGCCCGCTACCGCATTCCGCCGGCATCCGGCCGTCGCTGAAGATCTGCTCCCATCTGCTCCCACCGGAAAAACAGCGTCGTCTCCGCTCTCAAATCCGACCGTTTCTCTACTACCGATCACGCGGCTACGGGGGTTTCGCATGCTCGGGTGCTTACTGCCATGCGGCGCGCCTCTAAGTGGCAAAAGAAACAGGAAACTTGAGGAACGCTCGGCTTACGGAACGCGTCGTGTCCTATTCGTACATTTTCAATTTACAAAATCTTCGTGGAACATCGACTCTCGAATGGTACGAGATGTATAATGAACGTCCGTAAACCCAGCGCGAGAGCCGTGCGAGTCATACATAAATGAACAAAACTGAACTTGGCCGGGTTTCGTGGTGTTGCGTGCTTCGAACGGTGATACGCAATTGTACGATTCGAGCATGTTCGAACCGAACGATTGCGAGCGTTCGGGGTGGGCGGGGAAAAAATCGCCGGGTAAATAAATTACGCCCGATTATTCCGGCGTTCGCGGGGGATGCGCAGAACAATGCAGTATCGTGCAACAATCAGCGATAACAATGGCAACAACAATCGACGGGAATCACGGGCACCGTCGGTTCCCTAGGTATAATGCTCGCGCGATTGAGTCACCTGTAGTCCGCCGGCGGCATGGCATCAGCGTTGCACTCGAACGAGGCGCCGGAAAAGAGCAGCGCCGTGGTCAGCCGTTCGGGCCCGACCGAGCTGATTTTCGGCGGATCTGCGTGGGAACGAGAGAGAGAGACGGTTCTATTGATTGGCCGCGTGCACTCGCCGGGGGATAAACGCGGGGCGGGGATGATCCCGTGTGTCGAACCGAGCGAATCGCGTTAGTCGAGAAGACAGCGATCGGTGCGCGACGATGTCCGAAGACGTTGCTCGATCGACTCGACGATCTAATATTAGTCCCTCAGGCCAGTCCACCGTTCGACGACGTAATTACGGAACGGTTAATCAACCTGCCGGCTACGGTAGTCGAGCGCAAGAAATAAAATGATTTTCATCCTCGCAAATAAAACGTGCAGCGCGCTGCTGCAATCGCGACGCAACCCGATAGAATTTTTCGATGATTAACTCCTCGGCGAACGATAGCGCGGCAAACAAATTGGAATGGATATAGATCAATACGGAATTCCCGTTTGCTTCTAGTCAATGATTGACACGTTCCGCGCCACGGAAATTTCGGTGATATTTTGCTTATCTACTGCACTGGCTTTTTCAATGGAATATTAAGTTGTATTCGAGTTTTAGGTGATTTTTATGTGTTTTGATAATCGTGTTTTCGGTGCTTTGTAACGTACTATTCTTGAACGTATGTCCCTTAACGCGTTAAGCGCCATGGAAATCTCAGGGGTTTCCCGTAGAGTTTCTCTGTAGCAAAGAGAAGGACAATTATTAATTACTACAACGTTTGTCACGCTATTATCAACCTAGTTACATTAAACATTCTCATTTCGCATTGTCGTGTAGGTTACGATTATTTTCTAGCCATTCAGAAGTTAGTGACTGACACGGCGCCTAACGTATTAAGAATATTTACAAAAATCGGCGTGTACATGTGGTACACATGGCGCTGAACGTGTCAACGAAGTTTCTCACTTGAAATTGTAGTACGTCTATGGTATCTTGCTAGTTCATCTACGTGATCATTCGTTAATTAGAAAGAATCGAAACGAAAGCTCGATTTCGCGTATTTCCGAAACGATTCGCGTCAGTCCCGGCCTGCTTAGGGACCAGCCTGTTTCCGGTCGCGTTGCTCGCTGGGAACAGTTTCTCTTTCGTCTCTCGTTTTTCTCGCGGATCAATGGTGTGCCGGTTACTTAATAGACCGTCCCGGTGTTATCGTTAAAGGGGTTGAGCGCGGATATTTCCAGGATGCCGAGCGTAAAGGCGGCGAGGAAAGACTCACAGTTGACGGAGACCGGGACGGACACGGGGCTGCTCTCGCCCTCGGTGTTCGCCGCCTCGCAGATATAGATCGCCGTGTGATTCCTGTAGATCGGCGAGAAGAGGAGCGTCTCCCCTATGCCGGCCACCTCCGTCACGCCGGGGCTCTTCGTTCTCCTCCAGAGGATCGAGGCCGGCGGATTCGCGTCGGCCAGGCACCGGATCTCCAGCTGATCGCGGCCTTCTTCCAGCTGGCCGGTCGGCACGACGACCAGTCTCGTCTCCGGCGCGTCTGAAAAGCAACGAGGTGTCAGCACTGACGGATGTCTCTAGCATTCGGACGCTCGGGATTCCCGAGACTCGAAATCTCGATAAATTACGACTACAACGCGCGGGGTCCTTTAACCCTTTGCGGTCCGAAGTGCTCTTGCTTTCTCGCATCGAGGTTCACTTCGACGTCGGTTCATTCGACTACAGCTTAACATGACGCTCTATTTATTTATTCAAGAATATTTGGGAGTCATTGAAATGTTGCCTTTAACCCTTTGCGGACGAAGATTCTTTGGAATGTACAGAATCTTGAGCAGGTGAAGCTAAAATATACATTAATTGCTTAAATAATAGCGAAAGCAGAAACTACACGCTAATCTCTCGCTGTCCGAGTAATTAAATCATTCGCCTGCGACTTAGTCTTCCGAATATGAACGGTTCACCTTGCCCAAATGTCGAGTCTGACAGGACATAGGACTGCTAAGGGTTAACCCTTTGCACTCGGAAGTTTCTCACTTGTGTAGCGAGTGAATGTTCGAATGAGTACGAGATGCACGCCGAATGAGTGAGAACGAATGGGATAGAGCGACAGGCGAAAGATGCGAAAGATTGGTTGTACGAAGAATGAAAGAAGTTAGTTGTTAGTCGAGCGGCGCCAAATAAAAGAATAATACGTTTACAAAGAGATTGCGACACTTGAAATTGTAGTGTCTAGAATTCTTGGCGTAGGTTAAGGTATTTTTAAGAAGAACGTTCGTATATCTTTAGTCTAAACAAAGGCGATAGAAAGGCAACCAGACATGTTTGGATTTTGTCACGGGAAGTTAAGAGTACGCCACTGTAGCACCAGAATTCTTCCTCTCCCGATAGTTGCGCAGATTATAGTCCAACGTCATCGTACCGTGGATAATTCTATCAGTTTTAAATACTGATATTATATTTGTCATGTGCAGACCGCGTGAAACCTAGCTGCACAGAGGTACAGCGTCGCGGTTAATCTCGCCGTAGCTAAAAGGTTAATCGGAACAGGCTAGAGATTCGAGCGAAGCGGTTAGAATTATAGACATTGCGGTTAGAATGATAGTTTGAGTAAATAATATAGTCAACGCGTTGACGGAGAAATTGTCGAGCAGCAATTAGAGAGTCTAGTAATTCGGTACCGCGGTTATTAAGTTAAATTGCCGTCCAGTTGCTCGTGTCGCTAAATATTCCGCGTCGATCTTCTTATTGCAATCGTCTCCCAGCGGTTCGGAACTTTCGGTGAAGTTCAAAACGGCTGATACCGGCGGTGGGGGATTTTATTTAATTTTCGAAACGATGAATTCGCGTAAACCACCACCGTGGGCCGGTTGCGCCGGGAATCGCGATAGGAACGTGCTCGTGACATCCGCGGAAGCCAAACGCCGGCTCGTAATTTAATTTCGCATAGTTTGTTGGAAGTAAACGCGATACGATGCACTTACACACGTATAATTAACGCGACTAAACTTCGATGAATATTTGATGAATACCCGTGTACTACAACTGATTCGCGCATCCAGATGTTTACTGTACGGTAGTTAGTCGCTTTCCTCCAGCGTTCACGGGATTCGCGCTCCTGTTCCCGCCCCAGCGCGTTGTTAACGATGGAAATGTAGCAGTCGGTCGATCGAAGATGAACGCTCGCCGACGGAAAATTCGCGGACGTCTCGGCGAACGATCGGTTGGGGGTAAATTCGACGCTCGTTTTCGTGGAACGCGTCGATCATCGAGGCGTCGATTCTATTATATTGTATGTTTATGAGTTAATGAACGAATCGAGTAAGTTTTGACTATGAATGCAAGAGCGCGAGCGCGAAGTGAGAAGAAAGAATGAACACATGGTAAAATTGTGTTATAGGTGATATATTCAACAAACTCCATTTATCGAATTAAACTACGGATTCGTGTTTCCTTTGCCAAGCAGGATTTACTTTCAAATCATTCCGGATTTACTCTCAATAATTTATTAATGGAAATAATCATGTTTTATTTGGAAAAAACATAGGAATAGTTAATCGAATGAGATACAAATAAATAGAATCTCTTAACCCATTCGCTGCCAAGGACGAGTATACTTTACCAAAGTTCTGTTATTTCTTTGGTAAAACCACATACATTATCATACATAATCATTTACATGCATGAAATCAAAGATAAGTATACTCGTCGTTGGCAATGGGAAGGCATCAGGACTCGACTTAATTTGCTTAGTCAAAAGTCTGTAGGTTATAATATATTGAAAGTAGGACGAGTATACTCGTCCTAAATGACTATGTATGATAATATATGTGGTTTCACCAAGAAATAACAGAACTTTGGTAAACAATACCACTCAAAATATAAATGGCAATGGGAATAGCTTCATATAATATAAGCTTGGCAGCGAATGGGTTAAAACTCGTTCTCTCCCACAAGCATTCTCCTCACTGACACTTCCAACAAACTCTCATTCACACCTTACACTCACCACCACGCACAAATCATCATCATTTACGCATCGCTCGGAAACTCGCCAAACTTGGGCCTGGTCTCCATCAGTCTTTCTCTTCTATGACTTTCTCCTGTCTTTCAGACTACCGTTCCACTGCCTTAAAACTACGATACAGCAATAATAATAATTGTCCACACTTCACGAAGAATCTCCCAAGAACCTGCAACGCGAATCGGGACAAGCGAGATTTCAATTACGCCCCCGCGATCGCAGTCAACGACCGGCAACGGTCTAAGCTAGACAAATTAATTTTCCCTTGGAAAAAAAGGAACGGTCTCCTCCTGCGGGTGGGCGTGAGCGTAGCGCGAGCGACGCGGCAGCGGTTCGACAAACGAGAAGGGAGATTTAATCGGAATCGCGAGCGGGAATTGCTATCACGGTTTTAATCATAGCGAGGCGGACTCGCCGCGGACGCGGAACACTGGGAAAAATAAACACTCGCCGCGGAAGAGTAAACGCGGCCGGCCGAGTAGCAAGTTTTCAGATTAAATCCTTCGTTAATGAGCGCGTAATTAAAAGTGGATCCGAGACCGGGCGGCGCGGCGCGGCGCGCGGTCCGAGTGCCTCGTCGATCGAGTCTAGCGAGATCCGATCGATTTCATCGGCTAGAAGCGCGAGACTCGACGAAGAACCTGTGTATCGAAACACCGATCGAAAGAGAGACAGAGAGAGAGAGAGAAAGAGAGAGAGAGA